TACAGGCGATGATCGATGGTATCAATGACCGCATTGAGAAGCTAGCGAAGCGTGATGAAGCCCAGCAAGGTGAGATCCAGGACGTCGTAAACAGGGTTGGGGAGCTTGTGAGCGAGGTCAAGGACATTGCTGACAAGGAAGCGATGCTGACAAAAGGAACTGACTGAGCGAGTTCAGTTGTTGACAGACTGCGACCAGAAGCAGGACGGCCAGATCAAGGACATCGAAGGTCGCGAGAAGGAGACCCGCGAGGAGGTTGAGGTGTTGAAGGCCAAGTTGGAGTCTCTCATGGAACACCTTGACGGCAAGGAAGATCCCGCAACCGATGTGCAGGGGACAATTGACGAGCTCAGGGAGTCCATCGACAAGTTGGCGAAGCATGACCAAGCGCAACAGGCCGAGATCCAAGACGTTGCTGAGAGGGAAGCCCTCCTTCAGAAGGAGCTGGAGAAGCAGGTTGGCTGGCTGGCGGAGTACGGGAAAAACTTGCAGGAGCAGATCGATAACATCAACAGGAAATTAGTAGATATGGTGACATGTATGCAGACAACAGTTGGAACACAGGCCGAGGCCCTGAAGGCCGCCGCCTAAATTTTTGCTAGACAGGCAGCCAGACATTGTTAGTTCTTAGCGAACTGGGATATGCTGGGATGACATTGATTGAGGGGTTGGGGGGTGGCGGGATGATCAGCGGGGATGATTAGCGGGAATAATAGATGAGGACCGAAGCGGAAAGGAAGAGGACCAATCGGGCAAAGTAGAGAGGGAGAAAAAGAGGAGGCACTGGGAAAAGGAGAGAGGAGGATTTGGGGAGGGGAGAGAGATTTGGGGAGAGGAAAGAGGATTATTCGGAAGAAAGAGAGGACCACTCGAGGATGGGAAAGAGGACCACCGGGAATGGGAGAGAGGACCCTCGGGGGTAGGACGACCGGGATAGAATTAGTAGGGGAGAGATCCTCTATCTCTCGAGAAAGGGTCGGGGTGAGGTCCGGAGAGATGGTGAGGATCGCCCGGGAGAAAGGATTTTTTATTCTCGATGTTGGGTGTGAAGCGACGCCTGGCCAAGTCTGCTTCAGCCAAGCCACTGGACGACACTCGGGCTTTAAAGAAGCTCAGGCTCTGTGAAGATGGCCGGGTAAAGGGTGGCAAATTCCGACGTATTAATGAGTTGTTGTACACGTTGCCTAGCGACGAAGCCTTGCACCAGCTGAAGGCGGAGCGCAGCCTCAACCATGCCACTCACGTAAGTTGCTGCACCTACTCCACATACAGGTGTTGCGCACATCAGTGTCAAGCACATCGTGTTGCCTACACCACTGTTGAGCACGTCAGGTAGCACGTTCGGTACAATTGGATCTGTTGTAGTATCATGAAGGGTACGATGAGCAAATGACCAAATGGCCTTGCCATCCTCTAGACAAGATCTTGCCTGCTGTGAAGCGCAAGATCGAGACGGAAAACGCAAGGGTCATCTTGGATATCGGTTGCGGTAGTTGCCGAGTGCACCGAGAGCTGAGTACAATGACGGGCGGTCAGGCGAGCGGTCAGACGGAGATGGGTTTGGAACGAAAGGGGGCCGTGGTTATAGCGGTGGACTTTGCGGCGCCTGTGGGTCGCGGTCTTCCTCCGAAGCGGGCTACTGCGGAGGAGTATATAAAACGCGGCGGGTTTCTGGAATGTTCAGCGGCCCATGTTGCCTTGCCGGACGACTGTGCAGATGTCGCTATATTCTCGCTCTCTTTGATGGGCACGGACTGGCCCACGTTCATCGGAGAAGCGGTTCGTCTGGTAAAGAAGAAGGGGTCTGTGTTCATCGCTGAAGTCTCATCACGATTCAAACAACCTGGCAAATTCATTCGAGAATTGAACCGCTGCGGCTTAGTCCTAGTCAAACAACAAGATCTTGACTCCTACTTCTCTATCATGACATTCCGGGTACAGGACAAATCCAAATTCGACCAACAACTCATCTCTGCCGATGGTCTCAAGCCCTGCCTCTACAACAGAACCAAAGCACATAAAACCGACAAAGACTCACCAAGCGACACGCGAAGCAATGGTCACATGCACAAAGAGAAGCACCCTCCCGTCAACACTGGTCAGACATACGGCAAATGGAAACCAAACAGCACCGCAGCAGACCGAACCGGACGCAATTGAAAGTGCTATTTGGAACTAACTTTTCGTTCGTTGCAGCTCGGGGTGGTAGTTGCCAGTACGACCAGCCACGTAGCAGCAGCCAGCACGTGACAGGGCTGCGTGATAGGGACTGAGGTCCCCCCATGCACATGATTATTTGGATCCACCCAGGCCACCAGGAGTCGATTTTTAATTTCACCAAAAGCGGGACGTACAATAAAGTCCATCTGACAAATGGGGGCCAGCCCGCGAGTCGGACTTGTTGACACTCAGTCGATGCCTGGGGCGCACGGCGGACACTTTGTGGTTGCGCAGAATTATTTTTGAAAAGCCTCGTCAAGTTCCTGGAAAAATGCGGAGCCTAGTGGTGTCTGCGGTCGAGGACGGCCTGACGGGTCTCAGTGACAAAAGGCTTGGTTATCCGGAGGGCGCAGGGGGGGAAGAAGATGGGCTTCTTCTGCTGCTTGGAGTTTTCGCGGTCAATGTTCTCGATGCACACACGCATTTTGCGGCGGGACACTTCAGTGACCTTGCCGGTAAGAGAGCGGTGCTTGCCACGCATGACGACCACTTCGTCGCCCTTGTGGATCGGGAGTACCTTAATACCGGTTTCCTTCTGGGCCTCCTTCGTGAGTCTGCTGCTCATCATCTTATACTTCTGGTGGACGGTGGCGGTATAAAGCGCCTTGCGTACCTTGCCGGGCTTGCTCGAGACACCTACAACACACCCACGTCACCCCCGGCCTCCAATGTCTCTAATGTGGGCGGGCCAGCTCCGGCCGTCTCGGCCCCTGGGTGCCGGCGAAAGGCCCCGCCGAAGTTCCAGGGTCCACTAGCGTATTCCCCTCGGCGATGTAATTTATAGGTGTGGCTTGAGTGCATTCTTACGAGGATTGAACTTCATGACGGAGGCTTATACAAATTAATTCGACCCGAAAAAATCCTCCAATCAGTTTTGTCCTCTTTGGCTTTTGGAAGGCTCTAAGCCCCCCCCCGAGTCCCCCCACACAGGTCGGGACGAAGGAAGCTCTCATCCCTGCACTTGCGTCGCTTATGCCGAGCAACACCACCGCACTGCGGAAATTTCGTTAGGAGAATTCTAATGGACCAGAGCTACCATCACTCGTTATCCTCGCCATTCATTGTATGCGCTACGGTGGTGTTATGCGAAGGAAAAACCGGTATCCAATTCCTCCAGCCATTGCTCCTATATATGCACGTCCAGCAGATAGCAGGCGTCTGGCCTCCGCAGATAGCAGATGGCTAGCCCCTGCAGAAAGCAGATGAGATGTCAGGCCTCTTCCCTATCAGGTGCCTAGCCACCGACATTGGTGAGGGCGGTGGCGGTTAACTGGAGGATGAGATTTCGCCCTTTTCTTTTTCGCTGTTCCCGTCCGCTTGTTGAAGTCGTTTTTGGCAGTATTGAATGAGTGGGGTTATAACTCCCGGTCTCTGATACTTCGGCGCCAGCGTTGCGATCCATTCCAGCACTTGCTCTTCAGTGAGCAGTTCGTTGTTTGTGATTTTCGTCTTGGCTGCGTCTCGGACGACTTCATACAAGTCCCAGAGTGTATAAACAAAATCTGTGAACAACTCCTGGGCGCTACTCCCTCCTTGTAAGAACAACGCAAGATACCGATTATCAACGCAGAGCGGGTGGCTGTCAGACGCGACGGAGTCGAACTTCTGATGCTCCTCTAACCACTGGGTCGCCAGGGTTTTGAGCCGCGTCAATATTTGCTGTCGCTTGAGATCGATTGAATCTGAGAGACCAATGGGGGGAATCGTATCGTCCAGGGCAGACAGAGGAACTGGTTGGCATAAGAACTCGCTAGTCTCGGTCTTGGCGTTCAACATACCTTCTTGCTCGCATATTTGTAATAAGTTGAGATAGCGCGCGCGTGTTTGCTTTTCGTATGCAAATAACTTTTGGATTTTTGCGGGCGGACTGTCTTGGATGACAGCGGATAACAACGATTTCCATTGCTGGATGATGGAGAGGTCATTTACGTCTTCCAAGTCGCCGTCATAGTACCGTCGTACAAAGGCTATCAGGTCTTGTAAGGAAATGTCGTCCGAAATGAGCTCGCCTTTTCGACAGATTTTCAGCCAGCTGGTGATGGCCTCGGCTTTCTGCGTAGAGCACTTTTGTATAGCGGTCGCTGCTACGGCTGACGCAGTTTCCTCAAACGTCTCAAAACGCTCCCGGACATCCAAAATTCGCCATTCCGGATTATCCTCGAGGTCCTGAAACAAAGTGTCTGCGGCCATCTTTCCCAGAGACGGGATCTCGCCACTTTTCCAGCGCCACAAATACTCTGCCAGACTGTCGCGAGCCTTAGCCTTCTTCATCCGTAACTCTTCTTTGTTTTTCTTCACCAAATTGTTCACATGCTCATTAAATACATGCTTCCGCTCTCCCGTTGTCATGAGAGAGTTAAATACGTTCCATTTAGGGTCTTTCTGGAGCACCCGGCCTATTGAATCCCACTGCCCCAGATGACCAACGCATTTCCGTTCAAGAAACTCCCGAAACTTTGCCCGAGCATCACACTTACCGTCCAGTTTCACCTGCGACCAATCTTCTTGATCAAGCGCGGTGTGAGACTCTTTGATACGTGCGACTTCCGCAGGCACCTCCCACTCTGAAACACAACCGTTATAGCCAGTCCACTACCACAACACAGGTTCCAACCACAAGCCCCTGCACAGCTCCCACGGCCCACAAGGCCCTTGCCCAACTCGCATAGCTCCCATGGGTCACTGACTGGCTAGATGGGGGAGATGGGGGATCTTACCGCTTTCTCTGGTGAGGCTGTTATGCCAGTAACTTCGCCCGTCGCCTTGTGGGTATTCCTTCCACGCGCTGGAGGTGCTCAGCAGCCTCTCGAAGTCGCTCTTGAAATCCTCCGGCTTGTCCCAGGTACTGCGACCAGTGCGGGAGTTGTGCCAAAACACGCGACCTTCTGCAGTCGTATACTCCTTCCACTCCGGCTCTTGGGAAGCAGCGCCAGAGGCACTTGCACTGCCAGGTGTGGGCGGCTGTCTGCTGTTCGTGGGAGTACTTGGTGGATTATTCTGTCCTGCATCTGCGGCCATCTGTCCCCCTGCCGCCTGCCCGCTGGCCGAGAGCGGAGGGGTGGCACCCGAAACATTGAACCTAGGAGGAACTACCATCGGGGGCAGCAGACCCGCCACGGCTGGCAGTCCGCCGCCTCCCAGACCACCTCCTCCCAGGGTTGGCAGACCACCTCCTCCCACAGCAGGCAGACCACCTCCTGGCAGACCACCCCCACCCAAGGATGGTAGACCACCGCCCCCGGCAGGGGGTCCCAAGCCTGGAAGCAGGCCTCCCGCTCCGGAGGGAAGGAGACCTCCGGGAAAGCCTCTAGCTCCGGGGAAGCCCCCGGCCCCGGGAAAGCCTCCGGCTCCGGGAAAGCCTCCGGCTCCGGGAAAGCCTCCGGCTCCCGGGAAGCTTCCGACACTCGGAAAGCCGCTGCCCGCCGGGTTCAGGCTCAGTCCAGGACTCAGCCCCGGACTTCGTCCCGGACTGGCAGCGGGGTTCATTCCAGGCGGGAGCAGGACCGGGGGGTTTCCGAAGCCGGGTGGCAGAAGAGAAGTGCCTCCCATACCGGGCGGCAGCTTGCCTTGGTTCATGAAGACCCCAGTCAATGCGGCCCAGAGCTGGGGATCCGGGCCGGCCGGTGTCTGCACAAAGGGCGGCGGAATGCCGCCTCCCGGCGGAGCGGGAGGCTGCTGCTTCTGCTGCATCGGATTATACGGCGGAGGCGGGAACACTACCGAACACGCAAGTCATAAAACGTGTGTGCCATTTCGCCGTGAGTGGAGTCGCAAGCGCGAATCTGTGTTGGGCGGTGCCTCAGTTCGTGGAGCCTTACTTCTGGAATTACGCTGGCGATTAAAAAGTCGCAATCTCGTTCTCAGAGAGGCAAGCACACGTGTGTGCCCGAAGGGCGGCGACGTTTGGCACAAAAGACAGACTGGCTGGCTGGCTGGCTGGCTGGCGGGCGGGCGGGCGGGTGGTAGACGTTGTCGGGGATTGGTGATTCGGGGCTTACCGTCCCGAGGGTTGAGGCAAAAGACACATCGGTGGGCGGTTCGGCGGTCGAGCGGTACACTGCCGGCGGCAACAGTCGCGAGATGGTTGGAACGGGGGGTATGACTCACCAATAAGTTGACGGCTTCTGCTCTTAGGGAGTTGGCTCTTATGGAGTTGGCTGTTGTCCCCGGTCGGGGCACAGCGTTCCGGTCGGGACATAGCTTTCGGGGTGCTGAGGTTATCCTGGGGGCGAAATCCAGCACTGGCTGCCTAGTAGGCTGTGCCCCAGGAAGCAGTGCATGACACGGTGCATGACCAAGTGCATGGAGCAGTGGTGATGTGCCCGGTGATGCTGTGAGGGGACAGGAGTGTTTGAGACTGAATCTTTGGTTTACGTGACCTGCTAATTTTTTTTGGAGATGGTGTTGGCATCGAATAGGTCCCTACGCTTTCGCTTAGTGGTGTTGGGGTCAGTCGTGGTGGGTATGACGGTGGTGATGTGGACTATTGCAGGTGTGTACTATCGAGCCCAGCGAGGTTTGTTGGCTGCATCGGGTGTGGCCTACACACTTGGTCTGAGGCATGCTTTAGATGCGGACCACATTTCGGCCATTGACAATGTGACACGGAAGTTGATGACAGACGGAAGATATTCGACTACGGTAGGTTTCTTCTTCTCAATCGGCCACTCGAGTTTGGTTATCGCGGGTTGTTTTGTTCTCTGGGCCACCGAGAGGGCGATTGAGGATGCTGCGACAAATTATATGACAGTCCTTACGTATGTCTCGTCAGTGTTTGCGAGCGTATTTCTAATCTTGATAGGACTCATTAACCTTGTCCAGCTCATTAAAGTGAAGCGGGAACTGCAGCGGATCAAGCGTGAGAAGGTGTATAGGGAGGTCGACGATCAAGCCTTCAAAGGCGTCGGTGGGGTGTTTACACGTTGCGCTGGCGGCATCTTTAAGTCCGTCGATCGCAGCTGGAAAATGTTCTTCGTCGGTCTTATCTTCGGTCTTGGCTTCGACACCACTGCCTCCGTTACTGCCGTCATGACCACCGCTACTAGCCGCATGTCTGACCGTCGCATCAGCTTCGTGGATGCACTCATCATCTCCATGCTTTTTACTTGCGGCATGGTTGCCATGGACACGGCAGACGGCATCATGATGCTGGGCACGTACAAGTGGAGCGACCGGAAGATCGTGCGGCGACTCTTCTTCACTTACATTATAACCCTCATCAGTGTTATTGCAGCTCTCGTAATTGGCGTCATCATTGGACTCCGGCTCATCGTGGATGCCTCCGACTGCACGGAAAACAACTTCTGCAAATTCATCTCCTTCATTGACGCACAGTTCCAATTCATCGGTCTAGGACTCACCCTCTGCTTCATTGCAGTCTGGGGCGGCGGCTACCTGTACTACCGACACTCTCACTGGTCTCTCCTAGAAGACCAAATCGTCTACGCCAGCGAGACCTGCGCATCTTCTCAGGCACTCGTTGCCGATGGGTACACCCCCACATATTCATGCACGCCCAAGAGCCAGAGCTCCTTGCAGCTGACGCAGTACGGGCAAGTGACACAGTACACTGAAGTCGTCACAGAATGGCCCTGAACTTCCCCAACATGCACCTGGCCACAACAATGTAAATACTGACGTCGGCCGATACGGCAGATGTGACACAATGAAAATTTGCTAACAGGCACTGCCCTCACAAGCAGGCACGCCACCTATGCGACTTTTGCACGGACCAGCCGGAACCTAGGAGTTTTGCGTTCCCTGGCCTTAGTTTTTCAGACCTAGCACTTGGTTAACCGGACATATTAGCATCGTGGTTAACTAGCACACGCATGGTTGACTGGACAGAGTACACGATGCACCTGACGACCCCACTAAAATGGGGTTTCACTAAAACGGAGTTCATTCAAACAGAAAAAGAGGCGCGAGAATCAGAGGTTACTGCACGTGTCGAAGATTGCAGGAACGTCGAACCAGCTCCTCTCCCTTTTATGTCGTCGCAGCCGCTCACTGCTCATTCCCAAGTTCGGATGCTGGAAGGCCTCCGAGCGGTGCCCGGAGGCGGCACGCGAGTCGGTTCCCGAATGTCCGACGTCGCGTATACACGCCTCCCCGACCGGAGTCCCGCCGGCCTGCCATCGTCCCTTGGTCTCTTCCGACCGCCGACCCAGCGCTTCCGATCGTCGACTAATCCCTTCCGATCCCCAGAGGCTGACCCCTTCTGACCGCAAATAACCATCATGGCGGGCGCCTCGCTGATGGCAGGCCGCCCCCTCGTGGCGAGTGATCCCCGCCGACTGGTAAGGGATTTTGGTGGGTAACAGTCCTTGGGAGCCATCGTAAAGTCCCTCGACAGAAAAGCCCGCCGGTCGTCGCGGGTACGACCCCGACAGGGCAGTGCCGAGCGGCTGAACGTGATCGGGGTGGACGTACGGACTGCACCGCGGTCGCTCCCAACCCCCGCGAAGGTATTCTGCCGGACACGGAGACGGCACCAGGTATCCGGGCCGACCCAGGGAGCCTGGTCGGCCCGGGCAGTTCGGTCGGCCTACGGCACCGGGGTGGACCAAGAGGCCGAGATGCCCCGCGGCGCCAGGGTGCTGTAGCACAGGGCCGTGCGGTTGACCCGGCGCCCGAAACGGGTAGCCAACGAGGCCCGGATAGCCCACGTCACCACTGGTCCGGTAACTGGACGGGTTGGCTGGAATTGTATTTGGAAGCACGCCATGTGACTTGTACTGACTGTACCCGCCGGTTACCGCATGTGGTCCAACCGCACTTGTGCGAACCCCCACAGATCCAAACCTGCTGGGTCCCATGACATTTGGACCTCCCCCATTTGGACTGGAACGCCCCCCTTGGGGTGTGTGGCTCAAGGCTGGTTGATTGACAATCGAGGTGGCGGAAGACGTCGGTGAAATTCGCTTGAGATCGCCTTGGAAGGTGCGGTGCACTAGGGGGAAATTGCTTCCAATAGGGAAGGTGTTTCCGATGGGGAAATTGTTTCCAATAGGAAAGTTATTGGCCGAGGGGGCCCGCGGTGGTCTGGGGGGACACAGACTGGCCGCGGAGTAGGAAGAAGAAAGTGCATCGGGGTTGGGTTGAGATTGGAGTTGCGCACACGAACGCGTGACGGGGAGGTGTGCTCGCTGCGATAGATTTTCGCTGCCGGAGTCATAGATGTCGGAGTCTAGTCGGGTCTCCTTCATTTCGGAAGCCGTGGTGGTGTCGAAGACCGGTCTTAATGCGACATCGTCTACTTGCTTCCCCGCTATGTTTCCGTCGTCCCCATCCTCGAGCAGATGGCGGTGGGCTTCCGGATTGACCTCCGAGCAGCTGCTGTCGTAGGTCACACCGAGCCCACTCGCTGCCAAATCTACCTGCTCCGTCCAATGAACACCGCTTCCCTCAACATCGCTGCCGAGAGTTGCGACGTTCGGCACCGGAGTAGATCTCTGCTGCATCTCGGTTGGTAGCGAACCAGGCGAGCGTTTCGACAGCGTGCTGCGCTGCTCCTCCCTCGGCACCTTCTCCGGAGGTGATTTGCGTCCTGCCTGCGGAGGATTCGGATTTATAGGTCCGGTCTCACGGCTAAGGTCAAGCGGCCGCTCGTTGGAATCTGTTGTCAAACCGCTTGGCCCATTCGAACTGCCGAACGACGCCCCGTTTGAGATCACATCGCCTCCAATGGAGACATTGTCCACTATCAAGACGTCATTGGGCATCGTCGAACTTGGCAGCACGGAACTTGGCAGCACGGAACTTGGCATGACGGAACTTGCCACCATGGAACTTGCCACCATGGAACTTGCCATCATGGAACTTGCCGTCATGGAACCGGGTATTGTGGGCGCCCCGCCATCAGTCAAATTCGGTGAGTCATCCAGAATATCGATCGCTGTGGTGCTGACCACTCGTTTCCGCCGGGACGAAGGACGGTCTCGAGAAGAAGGACGGCTTCGAGAAAAGGGGCGGTCTTGAGAAGAGGGGCAGTCTTGAGAAGAGGGGCGGTTTCGAGAAAAGGGACGGTCTCGGTAGCAGGGGTGAAGGGACTGCGCTCCCGGAAGCGGTTGGGGTGACAAGCCGACGACGATGTCGTCTTTGCATCGACGTATTGCTTCGTGACTAGAAAGGTTGGAAGGCTCATTGAAGCGGCGGCCGTCGGGTAATGTTTCCGGGACGGACTGGAATGAAGAGTCGGTAATGTCGAACAGAGCGGTTGTCTCTTCCCTGCCTCCCCGCCTGAGGTTCATTTCGCTGCTCTCGAGGCTTGCTGAGCCTGATGAATCTACCCGATATGAATCGCCGGCATCCAGTGCACCTGGCTTGTGGCTTTGGCTCGGGTAGGGCATCTGCTCGTACGGTACTTGATAGTGTTGGCTCATTGACTTCGAATTCCGCAGTTCATGGATTACATTCCGATATGCAAAACGTATATCGGCATTATTGTAACTCTTAGTGTCCGCTGAGCACTTCCGGGCCCCCGTCCGGATAGGAGACCTCATCTCTGGAGTAAGGTGCTTTTGCAAACGCAGGATTATCATCTTACTGAAACTTGGTCGAACAGGTCTTAACCGACTATCACGGCATTTCTTTCGTTGCTGAGCTTCTAATATGCGGATCTTATGCGCCGCATAGTTCATTTTCTAAGTTCACATCCGTTAAGGACGGAAATAAGCCATAACACACAAGCAATCAGCCGAACCACTCCAGCCGCACGCTCCCCCGAAACACACACAAGAACGGCGGTCGCAAGTACAATTACCTCTTTGAGTTCGTGTTTCAATGCTGACATTTCTGATAACCAATTGTCATAGCTTTGGGGTTCACCTCCAAGCAGTTCTGATAATTTATGTTGAATCTAGAAGGTATATTGTAACAATCGAGAGATCCGTACTTGTCTTGAAACTTTGGCGAACTCGCATTCTACTTGAACTAGTGATCTTTTTCCATCTGAGGAGTAATTATAGTCCTCTGCCATAAATAGCACACGCGTGTGCTGCATCGATATTTATTGTAACATTCTGTATAAATCGATCCCCAGACTTGTGGTTTATAGAAGATGTTGGGCCGTAGAGGATCATACAGGTCAAGGCGGGATGAATACGGGGACTGGGACGATTGGGAAAACGCTAACCCAAATGTAGATTCTCGTAAACCAAGAGATTATGTTTCTCTGGGAGAGGTCACTCAAATTGGTCCTGACGGTCGCTCAGTGGAAACAAGATCAATGGAATCACGATCATTGAGTAGACTCAAAATCAAGAAGAGTCCTACAAAGTACCACTATCCTGGCATGGAACGGCGAGATAGCCGTGGTGAAGAGGAGAAACGTCCCGTATCCCGGGGATCGTCCGCGAAGAACACTATATGCGTTTGTGGAGCATCAGCCTTCTACGAGCGAGAGAAGGTACAAATAGAGCGGATGAAGAAACAAGTCAAGAGTGATGCCATCAAGTTGCAGTCAACAGTGGAACAAATGGATCAGGATCGGGACGAAATACGTCAACGAACGGATGAAATAGAACGACGAGAAAAACTAGTTAACGAAGCGCAAAGTCAACTAGATGAAGAAAGAGCAAGAGTTGAACGCGAATGGGAGGAATTAAGAAACCAAGAAGCTGATATAAAGAATTTTGAGAGCGTTATAGAGGAGCAAGAGAATGCATGCCTCAAGAAAGTGCGGGAGCTACAAAAGCTTAAAAGGGACCTAGAGGATCGCGAAAGTAAACTGAATAAGGAGAAAGAATCTTTATACAAACAACAAACGGAGTTTACAAGTTGGTTATAACACAATGCACCTCCTTGGTCTAACACCTCCTGTTTGGGTTGCTAGACTATTAGGACAGACTATTTGTACCGAAACTTGTTATTGTAGGTAAAGAAGATCGCATTAAGAGCTTAGGTAGTAGATTAGAAGCGAAAGAACAGAAATTGTTAGAAAGACAAGAACAGACCGACAGGGATCAAGCGGTGGTAAGACAGGCTAGGGTCCAGACTAGGGACCAGGACATCCCCCTTTAAGTATCACACTTCCTCCCTCCCGGTGGGGTCATGAGTCGGTGGGGTCATGAGTCGGTGGGGTCATGAGTCGGTGGGGTCATGAGTCGGTGGGGTCATACCGATCCTTCGTAGTTGGAGGAGCAACGGAAAAGTTTGGCCCAGCGGGAGCACACGCTTAATGAAGAGTTGGCTTCGTTGGAGGAGAGCCGTTTGGCGTTTGAGGAGCGCCATACCAAGTTGACGGCGAGTGAACAGGAGTGCGCGCGACTGATGGCGACATTGTCTGAGAAGCAGCAAGTTTACGACCGGGTTATCAACGACGAGCGCCAGATGAAGGAGCGAGTGGAGCGCTATGAAAAAGATATCCGCGCCAAGTTGGATTGCGAAGCTCGGGACCTCAAGAGACGCTCTAGCGAGCTGCAACTGCGAGAAGAAGACTTTGCCAGCGAGATGAATCTCAAACACGAGTGGCTCCAGTCGTCCACTGAAGAAGTGGAGAAAGCTAAACAAGAGTACTTCGCATGCCCTGGTCACATCCCTGGTCACATCCCTGGTCACATCCCCGCTGGTGGCCCACCCCCGCTGGTGGTCCACCCCCGCTGGTGGTCCACCCCCTCTAGTGATCTTCCTCCCCCTTGCTGGTTCACCACCCTGTTTTTTTTCCACACAAGTTCTGCACGCAGGTTTGCGGAGGAGGTGGAGGGCCAGCGCGAGAAGGTGGACCAAATGAGGGCGCGGTTGCGGGAGGACGTGGACCGTGAGCATGCAGAGTTGCGTCAGATTCGGGAAAGTCAACAGGCGGAGAATACGCGGTTGACGGCATTCCGGTCTGAGTTGGAAGACCGTGAGTTGCAGTTGATAGCGCAGTCGAATGAGGTGAGTAAGAAGGCATTGGAATTAGAGAAGACGGAGCAGGAGAGGAGTAGCGCGGTCCAGAAGAAGGAGAGGGAGTTAGAGAGAGGTCGTTTGGAGCAGACCCGGTTACGGAATGCATTGGAGGAGAAGGAGAGGGAGTTAGAGCGGGAATTAGGTGACGTGCGTGAACAGACGAACGTTCTGGAGGACCGTTGGGCGGAATATCAGGGACACAAGGAAGAGTTGAGTCGGGCCAAGCAGGCGGTGGACGAGGAGCTGCGGCAGCGGCGGGTGGAGTGGAAGAAACACGAAGACGAATTGCGACGGCAGAAGACTGACTTGGAGCGGGCACACGAATTATGCTTGAAACGGCAGAGTGACAAAATGAATGTGCTGGAACAGCGAGAAAACGCATTGGAACAACGAGCTAAACAACTCAACGACCTGGAAAGCGTTCTGCAAACCCGCTGCCGGGAACTCGACGAGAAAAACGCAGTGGTTCTCGCCCGTCAAAACGACCTCGAACAATACGAACGAGCACTCCGTAACAAAGAGAACGCCATCGGTCGACGATACCAAGACCGACAGACGATCGAAACCGCTCTTAGCGAGATTAACAAGACCAAGACAGAACTCGAAGAACGCGAAAGAAATCTTGAGTGGCAAAAGTCGCTAATGAGACAACAACAACATCGTAGTCAATCCCCATCCCGGAAACGTTCTTTCTCGCAACAACGACGAGCTCCTCTTATCAACCCTAGTCCCCTACCGGAACTCACTCTCAGTTCAGCACAACCAGCCAGGGGACGCCAACCCCCACCCTACTCCTGTCCACCAGACGCCTGTCAACCCACTTCTAACGAAGTAGCTGACAACCCCACCGACCTACCACGTGACCTGCCCGGTAGCGACCTTACCCGTGACCTACCATCCACTGCCGACCTGCCGTCCAACCCTATTGGTACCAGCTCCTTCACCGGGGCTAGCCCTTTCAACGGCACCAGTCCTTTCAACGGCAGCAGTCCTTTCGCCGGAGGAGGAGTCAGACAAGCGCCGCAGTCCATCATCACGACAATGAGCCAAGCTGCTGTCGACCAACCCCCGAACGCCTCACACGACCCCCGACCAATGAAACCTCTCTACATAGACAGGTCAAGTGTAACTCGAACCAGAGGAAACAACACAGTAGCTGACAGTCTTAAAACACCCCAATCGCTTCTATTTACTCAACCTGATCAGCGAAGCCAACCCGACGGTTGTAGCCAACCGGATCGTTCCAGCCAACCAGATCACTGTAGCCAGCTGGACCGGTGTAGTCAGCTGGACCGGTGTAGTCAGCTGGACCGGTGTAGTCAGCTGGACCGGTGTAGTCAGGCGGACCGGTGTAGTCAGGCGGACCGGTGTAGTCAGGCGGACCTGGAGTACACTCAGCCGGATGTAGTCGGAGTGACGCAAAGTTCGTACAACCCTTCCGGACTGAACGACAATCGGGTTAGCCGCCAGTCGACGGAGCAAGAGGAAGGGGCGGCAGCTAGTGAGGAGCCGAGTGGTGAAGGTGATGGTTCGTTGTCTAACTGCGCAGTGGGGGTGGCGATATCTAGTGATCGAGTCTGTCGCCAGTTGTCTGTTGAGTCTGTAGTGAGTCAACGTAAAGAGTCGAACGACAGCTGGGAGTGGTCCCGACGTGGAGGAAGGTCGGCTTACAGGAAGAGAAGCAGTTACGACGAGAAAAGGGGACGGACCACGTCATCTTCTGAGTTGGTAAACGGGTCTAGTTTTGACCCCGGCTCGACGGGAAGGAACGGAATCGGCACCGGCCCTCTGGGAGCTGGTGAAGAGGGGGCAGGTCGTGAAGTGGCTGGTCCTCCTGAGAGTGGATTTGGTGTCCCGGGCAGAAGTATGAGAGGCATGACGCAGGACATGACCGTGACCGGCGGCGGAAACGGTCCTGGGAACATGGGTATGAGGGGCGGTCGGTTGAGCACACACAGTGCGGAAGGCGAGAGAGAGATGTCAAGTATTTCTCCGGCCAAGATGGCGACGGTGATTGCCAAGTACAATGAGAAGAAGGCAGAGGTGGGCCACGAGCAGGCGCAGATGCGGGAGCAAGAAGAGTGCCGAAAGAAATCTTTGGAAGAGGACCTGCGAAAGCAGAAGGAGTCTGAGAGGCAGCGGCGAGAAAGCGAGGAGCGGGAAGCGGAGGAACGTGTACAGCAATTAATGACCGAGCGCAAGCGACGGTCCAGTCGCCTCTCGCCGGAGGCAGGACCCCCGAGCGGCGAGGGCGAAGGGGTACGGAGTGGCAGAGACTCAGCACTGAGCGGCAGAGACTCGGTCAAGTCGTTCGGGACAGGCGGCGCAACCGCGACGGTGAGAGATCCTATAGGACGAGGCTCGACGGGACGAGGGCCGACCGCACGTGTCTCGGCCGGACGAGGGACGACCGGACGAGGGTCGACCGGACGAGGGTCGACCGGACGAGGGTCAACCGGAAGAGAGTCGACCGGACGAGAGTTGACCGGACGAGGCCCGTCGACGACCAAGGGATCCATGGAGTGGAATGCGGCCTGCCCCCAACTGCCCCTGCCAGACACCCAGTGTCCCCAGGTCGCTGATATCGGCAGTCTACCGGCGCCACCCAAGTCCCTAGTGGACCGAGGGAAACGCCTGAAGAGCATTGAGCGGGTGCCTACCGGGGAGCAGGAGGACTGTCTCGCCTCGGACTTGGAGGACGACGACGAACTGGACAGACGGTTTGACGAGACCACATTCCGGCAGCCTGTCAGGCGGGAGGCGGGCGGTAGAGGCTACCGCCAGTCCCGACGAGGCCGCGGAATCGAGGACCGCGCGGATGGGACCATCGTCGCTGGAGAGCCGGCGGCTGAGAAAGAACTTGACCAGCAGGAGGAGCTTGCTGAAAGCCGAAAACTCAAGTTCTTCTCAGAACCTGGCTATCCTCAGCTTTATGGACGACTGCCGAAGGCGGCGGAATTTTACAGCAGCCAGTTCGTGCCTTCTCGGCAAGTTATTCCCGTCGTTCCGGGACCCAGCGGGAACGAGTACACGTCTGATCCCGTGGCCAACTCAGCCTCTCTCATGGAGAGAATGGTCGCTCTAACACCGACGCAAGACGCCGTTCAAAGTCTGGACGCCTCGTTCGTAGATTGCGAGGACGACTAATTATTTTTTACATGTTTCTCCAACCCCTCAATGTACCCCCTACCACGGAACCCACCGCAACTTGGACGAAAAAACCGATCAAAACGGTAAGTCGATTCTGACCAAGTGGAGCGACCGCGGCAATGTTTTAGGCCATAAGCCGCCGTTTTGTGCTCAGAGAGTTCCAGCATGGAGCGCAGTACTCAAGCCTTTACTTCTGTCGCTTGATGAATCTTCGTCCGTTTATAGTTGAAAGAGTAAAGAGCGCGGGCAAACGTGTGTGCGATGAAATAAAGGATGTCAATTTGAACGAAGAATGCATTATCATAGGAACCCTTTATAAGGTGATGAAATTAAAGCCGCAGATCTTGGACGAGTACATGGAGAACGTAGCAAAGGGAGAGAGCCGCCTGAAATTTGTGGATTCTTCAGATTCGTTGGTCATTGAGGACGGGACCGGTCGGCTGACTTTAGAAGGTTCTGTGGACGTGCAAAAACTGGTCACTGGACTAGTGGTTGGCCTGAGAGGCTCTCAAAGTGGGAACGGCGTCTTTCGCGTGACGGAGGTGATTACTCCGAAACTGCCTCGTCTGAAGCCGACAATATTTCTCGGTCCGGCTGAGAACTTGGCTCCAGCGGCTCCCTTTCGGGGCCACGCGGCCCAGGGACGCGGAGGCGCCCAGCCGCCTACAGAGAGTAGATGTATTGCGTTCATTGCTGACCTTGGTATTGGGTGTCAGACGACTGCGGAGCGGCGAAAGGCGCTGGTTAACTTGCTCGCGGACTCGGAGCTTTCCGTAGGGTTGTTGGTGCTTCAGGGTCGCAGTGTGCGCTCGCTGGACATGAGCAGCATAGGTGCCTTGGACGGCTTCATCGCGGCGGTGGCGCCGTCGATGAGCGTCCACGTGATGCCTACGGATGAGTTCGAAGTGATGCCGTTGCAGCCCTTCCCGAAGTCTTACCTGCCCGTGGCGGTCAACTACGCGAACGTTTTTCGAGTCACGAGTCCCCACGCCTTCTCTGTGGACATGGAGGTGGACACTGGCATGGATACAAGCAAACAGCAGGACGGCGAGCTGGACGACGGCTTCCGGGTTCTCTGTCTGCCGGACGCCTGTGTAGCCGACGTCATGTGCTACTCCAGCGTGGACGACCCGCTCGAGGCCATGCAGCTGGCCTTCGCCTTCCGGTCATGCGCCCCGACCGCGCCCGACACGCTGTCTTGTTTCCCCTTCAGCGCGCACGACCCCTTCGTCCTCGCACAGGACGCCGACATCCCACACCTCGTCGTCGGTTGCCAGGGTCCCCGCTGCCGGACTCTGGCGTCGCCGCAGTGGGACGCGGCGACGCCGCAAGCCTGTCTGCAAGAAAACGGCACGCTGCTCGTGGCCTTACCTGCCTTCAACGACACCGGCTGCGTCCTTTTTGTCGATCTCGACGCCCGCCAGGCCTTCCACTACCAGATCTCGCAGTAGGTAGGCCTCGGCGCCTAGTGGCAGGTGCAAGGTGCAGCGCCCAACATGCAGCATTTCGGAAGCTACGACGAAGGCAGTCTCTCGCCCTACGCGCTGCAGCCGACGCCGCCGGAGCCGCTGGACTTCTCCAATGTCAAGGTGAGCACAAATTCACGACCGCCGCGTGCCGAGTCGCATGCCAGCCGTGCACGCGTGTCCAGCATGCTACACCTCGTGCACTCATGCGCCGCATGGCGCATGGACCTGACCTCTCGACCTGTCGCCCGATCCGGCGACCAACCGGGTGCCATCAGGTGGCGAGTCGGGGGGCTGGGTCGGTGGCGAGTTGGGAGGTCAGGTCGCGAATTGAG